ATTAGCATTGGAATATTATCTTAGAATCGTTAGTTATTATTGGCATATTACCAACAGTTTACATGGAACAAACAATCAGACTTTTTCAGAAAATTCTGAGCGTGTGAGGACATGGGGAGTTATGAAGCTCTCAACAAAAGCTTCAATCTTCAATCTTTTTGTTTTCCTGTTGTTGCTTGTTGTTCAATCTGTGAATCACCATAGGTAAACACGGAAAGAAAGAACACACACTTGCAATCCCTATCTAGGACCCATAACATTTGGTATCAGAGCCACAAACTATGGTAGAACAAAGAGAAACACAATCAAGGGAGGAAAATCAAAGGAAGATCACCATGCTACAACTTTCAATCCCTATCTAGGGCCCAAAACATTTGGTATCACAGCCACAAACTGTGGCTGAAATTTTAGATTACTAAATGCGATCGAAGTCCTTGTGCTGATACAGTTGCAGCCTCGCGTGGATTTTATGGGGGAAAATCACCCCACAGCTGAATCTGGAGAACTTCACAGAGATGAAGGCCAGTGGAGGTGGGTTCCAAAATATGCGAGATTGATCTTCCTCGTATACAAAGGAAAAGATGACCCACTTGGGTGGTTCAACCAGGTAGAGATCATCCAGGGAATGGGAATCTGTATAGGAGTAGAAATTCAGAAAGGGAAAGAAAAATTTATCATCAATCTATCAGCCATTACGCTAGATGGGTTTGATGTAGTATTGGGAGTGGGTAGGCTCCAAGCCTTAGGCTCAATAGTATGGGACTTCACTTCCCTCACTATGTGTTTCAAGATGAAAGGTAAATGGGTACATTTGAAGGGGTTGAGCCAAGAGCAGCACACCTCCATTAATGCCATTATCAACCGACACTGAGTCAAATCTCAATCGGCATGATTCTGGCAGAATATGGAAATTTGTTTCAAGAGCCAAAAACACTACCCCCATCGAGAAACTGTGACTACATCACTTTGGGAGAGGGAACTAACCCGATTGTGGCTAGACCCTACAAGTACCATCAACTTTGAATAAATGAAATTGAGAAACAATGATGACATGTTCAAACAGGGGATCATCCAACAAAGTAAGGATAACACACTCGTATTCGAAAAGGATGATTCATAACCACAAAACAGTCTACAAGAGCAAATTCAAGAGGAGGTAATCAAACACGAGGAGTGCAAAGAATTGAAACAAGAAATTCTGGACCGAAAAAAGAGGGAGGGATGGGGGACCAGTAGAACCTTAGTGATGGGTTGATACGGATCAAGAACAAAATTTACATTCCATCAAACTGGCCACTTGCCATGGTAATTATATCTCAAGTCCACAATGGCACGCGCTAAGGGGTATAAAGACACTTCTTTAGGGTAACTCGACAGTTATATTGGATGGGTACGAAAGGTCCAAGAGTTCATCCGAAACTGCTCCATATGCAAGAAAAATAAATGGGAAAATCTCCATCTGGCTCCTCTTTTACAGCCTCTTCCAGTGCCACAGCAAATTTGGTCCAACATATCAATGGATTTTGTGGAAGGCTTGCCAAAGGTATCGGATAAGTCAGTGCTCATGGTTGTAGTAATTTGACTGTCTAAATATGCCCATTTCATACACTTGTTCCATCCTTATACGGCATCATCAGTGGCCCATGCCTACTTCACTCGCATGTTAAAATTGCATGGCATGCCAGAGACAATAGTGAGGGATCGAGACACTTTGTTCATGACAGGCGACAATTTTGTCTCTTGCCATGGTGGCGACGGCGGCTCCAATGATATTAGGAAGGTAGGGGAAACAGAGTGTGTGTGTGTGTGTATGATTTTGGAAGTATAGAAGGCATTTCATATTAAAAAGACTAGTTTAGTGAAGTTCCTAGTCCATAGAGATTCGAACTAAGATAAACTCATATGTTATCTTTAATTCAGTAAGAAACTGAACCATTAACCATTGATACAATCTACTATGCTATTTCCCATTTGAAGAGTCACCTTGGTGCCACTGGGCCACAAGGTCTTTGGCCCAAAAAGAAATGATATTTATAAAGAAGTGTAAAATGTAGATCACACCATAGTTATTTATGGCGCGATGGGCACAGATACACAAAAGGACCCGCATCGTAGAGCCTGACACCTTAGGTACGTTGACCGCATCATAGAGCCTGACAAACAATCCCGTGCGCATCAGACAGGCTTTTCACAACCATGCATCAAACCAAAAAAATCAAAGGGAGCATACATACTTCTTATTTAGAAGGTTCAACCTATATGGGAAGCAGTTGTATTACTACAATAACAATGTATCATACACAAAGACGGCTCCGCTGAGCTTGTAAAGGATTGACAAATTAGTTTTAAGATAGAAAGGCAAGGTGTGAATTACTCCTGCAAAATGTTGTCTACCTATTAAATCCAAGCACCCATACCTGTGATAAGTGATGGTGTCCCAGACACCTCCAGAGTTGGTGGAGGAGGAACCTGTTGTTGCATATGCATATTCTGGGATAAAGCTAGTAATTGGTTAAGATCATCTTGGATGGATTCAATTTTTCTTTGTTGATCTTGAATTGACAATTGCAATTGGCTTAAGTTATGTTTGATATTGTGAATCCTGTCTTCGAAATGCCTCTATGCTAAAGTATTCAGAGGCCTGTATTGAAATTAAAATTAGACCTTGAAATCAAGAATAACAAGGTGCACGCAAAAAGGCATTTCATTATTCAAAATATTATTAAACCATGACTGTTTTCGAATCAATATAGTACCAAAAAATATCCTTTAGTATCGAAATCTAGCTTTTAGTTAAAATGGACAAGTTATAATTCCAAGTTCTAGAGAAGAAAGAGGAGGGGGCCGGGAGGGTGGGCTGGGGTGGGGGGCAGGGGTGGGGCTGGGGGGTTTAGGGGTAGGAACCGTAGTTTTTACAAATGGAGCACCGTAGGTACCCCAAACGAACTGGTGTAAGCAACTGGTGTATAAGTAATATATATATATATATATATATATATATATATATATATATATATATATATATATATATAGTTTATTTCTGTTTGGAACACACTAAAACACAGAGAGGTCTTACCTTCCAACCACCTGGGCTAGGGTTCTAAAATAGCAATCAATTATCTCGTCTCTCGGATTGTTAATGAACGACGAGATCTGTCGAGTCTCGAGCCCAGCAACCGAACCGGACACAGCAGGGTAATGACGGCGGACGCCGACGGAGATTGCCACAAGGGGACGGTGGCGGAGGAAGAGCGAACTGGGAGACGGAACAAGAGAGGAGTGTGAACGAGTGAAGACCGCGCTAATGGCCGTGGTGAGCCGAGATCGAGTCGCGATACCAGTCGCCATAGCTAAGGCTAAGGTGTAAGGTTTACTTTTTTTTTGAATTAAGCTAGGGGTACTGGGGTACCCAAACCAACACATACATACACAGACACAAAGTGCACAGACACTTTGTGTCTGTGTGTGTCTGTGTTGGCTTGGTGTACACTTGGGATACCCATGTTGGTGTACCCCTCCCTTTTTTTTCCTTTTTTGGCTCATTCAAGAATGGGGGCACCCTAATTCCATCGAAAAGAGAGTCATTAACATATACGGAGTATAAACAAGGACCATGCTACACTTACACCAAAAAATGTACCTCATTTGTACACCACATGTTTGCACAAACATTTCGATGGTTTACACCGACACAAAGTGTTGGTGCGTTAATAAAAATTCACACGGACACAAATGTTGGTGCGTTTAACAAAAACTGCGGGGTACAAATTGGGGTACAAAACTTGGGGTACAGACGGCATAATCCTATAAACAACGCTACTTCACGAATCACGAGTTTGTTTTCCCTCTCTAGCCTTCCCTTCTTCTCTTCCCGTTTTACTTCAAACTTTTTCAATAGAGAATAATGAAGCTAAAATGGAATAAAACCCACCAAAACCAAATTGACACCCTAACCATGAAATCAGAAACAAAAAGAAGAAATCATAATATAGCAACAGATACATAAAGCAGTGAAAGAGTACAAGCCTTATGTGAGATTAGGGCTGGGTTGGAAAAACCGAAAACCGAAAACCGAACCGAAATCGATCGAAACGAGCTAGTAAAAAAACCGAACCGAAAAAACCGAAACCGAATGTAAAAAAACCGAACCGTTAGTATTTGGTTCCGTTTTGGTTTTCACTTTGAAAAACCGAACCGAACCGAATAAACCGAACTTTTTTAGATACTTCACTTAATTTCTATGAATATATG